AGCAAGTGGCCAGGTCTGGGACTCAAACCACAGTAGGTCATGTGGGAGTTGAGCACCTCAACCACCATGCTACTTGCCAATCCCCAAGGGTTGTGGCTTTAATAGGGTTGTTAGAGAGGGTCTCCTGAAGTGACATTTGAGATCTGAAAGAGGTGAGTGGTATAAAGAGCCACTAGCAGAAGGTGTAATGGTTACATCGCTGGACTCCCACGTAGTCGACCATGGTTCAAGTCCTGGACCCAGTGATTTAAAACTCATGCTGGGTACATGCATACCTAAAATTCCAAGAGGAGAATGGTGTGGTGTGGCTGTGCCCCTGGGTGCGTGACTTCTTGCTTTCTGTCTCTCTGTTTCTCTCTGTTTCTCTGGCAAGCACACACATCCTATAACAAAAAAGCTGCTGGAGGATTATGTCCTGATTTTAACGGAACTGCTTTGGCTGCTGTGTTGAAACCCAATCAAAAGGGGATGAAAGAAGAGGCAGAGGATTGTTTTTTTGTTTTGTTTTGTTTTTTTGAGAGGTTTTCCCTATAGGGCACGTGTGCTCGCCAGACAGACAGAGACATAGAGACAGAAAGCGAGAAATCATCCCCCGGGGGGGAAGGCCACGCCGCAATCCCTTCTCCTCCATTCTCCTCCTGGGATCTTGGGCACGCATGCACACGCGCCTGGTGTGAGTTTTAAGCCACCGGGTCTGGGACGCGAACCGTGGTCCGCACTGGGTAGAACTCCGGGGGGGCCCGGCGACATAGCCATTACGCTAACTGCTGGTTCCCAAAGCAGAGGATTGTTTAAGAAACTATAGACACTATCTCTACTGAGATTATTAGGAAACAATCTAGCATATAGTATCCTCTCCATAGGGTGCTGGACTCCCACATGGCAGGCCACAGTTTCAGCCCCAGACCTGGCAGCCTGCTTTCTCACTTTCCCTCTCTGTGGTAAGCATACATGCCCTATAACAAATTTAAAAAATAATAACAACAATAAATAAAATTAAATCATTTTTTAAAATAAAAATTTATAGTTACATTAAATTATTGTGATACTCCTCTTAATTTTATCTGTTTACTTTTGTTTTTCAGAGTACATTATTTCCTTGTAAGTGGCTGGCAGTTTTTGTGAACCTATATTCAAATAGATTTTCTTTTTTTATTATGAGCTGAATGAACACCCAGATTTGGATATGTTGTGTTTGTCCAGTAGACCTCCTAAGATAGCTATGGACTGAAACCAGATTTTTTTTTTTTTTTGAGAGATTTTTGCTATAGGGCACGTGCACTTGCCAGGCAGACAGAGAGCGACAGGGAGACAGAAAACGAGAAATCACCCCCCAGGGGGGATGGCCACACCGCAATCCCTTCTCCTCCATTCTCCTCTTGGGATCTTGGGCACGCACGCACACGTGCCCAGTGGGTCTGGGACGCGAACTGCAATTGACTACATGGGAGTCCAGTGACATAGCCATTATGCTAACTGCTGGTCCCTGAAACCAGATTTTCAGGTTAAATCACAGCTTGGATATTTTCATCCAATGTGGAAATTACAAATTTGGAGTCTGTACCCATGCATTCCACAGTTTCAAGTGTTAAATGTCTCACAGAATACTTTCTTCTCCATTGAGAACTCTGGTCAAGCGTGGGCCTGGGGTCTGAGTTTTGATTCCTTCCATTGAGAAGGCAACACTTCCAGACTCTAATTTTGTAGAGGTTTCAATTCTAGCTTCTTATCTCCAAGCCCTCACATTTTCTGCCCTGATGGTCATCTAAACCCTAACCCCTCACCCTCAGGATTTTCAGATTAGGGATGCTCAACTTGGAACTATTTTTAACTTTATTTACTATTATTATTAATTTCCAAGTTGATCAGAGAAAGACAAAGAAAGAGAGAGGGAAAGTGAGAAAGGAAGCCACTAGGTCCAGGACTTGAACCATAGTTAGCCATATGGGAGTCCAGTGCCTTTAACCATCACGACACCTGTCAGCTCCAAGGATGCTCAGCTTCTACAGCGAATGTAATATATTAGTCAACATGTAATATTAGATTGTCAGAAAGTCATGATGCATTTTTACATAAAGAAACAGAGAGAAAATAGGTCATGACTTCTAACAACCCAATATATTAGATGGTATTAGTGTTACGGGAAAAAATCAGGGAAAGGGAATGGAATATTAGAGATTATTTATATATAACTTTTAAAAGTAATTTATGGAGGTGAAAATTCATGTAACATAAAATCTGTCATTTGAAGTTCACAATTCAGTGACATTTAATACACTGACAATGTGGAAACTGTGTGTTTTAAAAACATATTTAATATTATCATTTTTCAATTTAACCAGAGAGAGACAGAAAGAGAGAGGGAAATTGAGAAGCAAGTGGCCAGGTCTGGGACTCAAACCACAGTAGGTCATGTGGGAGTTGAGCACCTCAACCACCATGCTACTTGCCAATCCCCAAGGGTTGTGGCTTTAATAGGGTTGTTAGAGAGGGTCTCCTGAAGTGACATTTGAGATCTGAAAGAGGTGAGTGGTATAAAGAGCCACTAGCAGAAGGTGTAATGGTTACATCGCTGGACTCCCACGTAGTCGACCATGGTTCAAGTCCTGGACCCAGTGATTTAAAACTCATGCTGGGTACATGCATACCTAAAATTCCAAGAGGAGAATGGTGTGGTGTGGCTGTGCCCCTGGGTGCGTGACTTCTTGCTTTCTGTCTCTCTGTTTCTCTCTGTTTCTCTGGCAAGCACACACATCCTATAACAAAAAAGCTGCTGGAGGATTATGTCCTGATTTTAACGGAACTGCTTTGGCTGCTGTGTTGAAACCCAATCAAAAGGGGATGAAAGAAGAGGCAGAGGATTGTTTTTTTGTTTTGTTTTGTTTTTTTGAGAGGTTTTCCCTATAGGGCACGTGTGCTCGCCAGACAGACAGAGACATAGAGACAGAAAGCGAGAAATCATCCCCCGGGGGGGAAGGCCACGCCGCAATCCCTTCTCCTCCATTCTCCTCCTGGGATCTTGGGCACGCATGCACACGCGCCTGGTGTGAGTTTTAAGCCACCGGGTCTGGGACGCGAACCGTGGTCGACTACGTGGGAGTCCAGCGACATAGCCATTACGCTAACTGCTGGTTCCCAAAGCAGAGGATTGTTTAAGAAACTATAGACACTATCTCTACTGAGATTATTAGGAAACAATCTAGCATATAGTATCCTCTCCATAAAGTATTTGTATTATAATTTTATTTCATCTAAAAAATACTGAGTTTCCTATGGGCCAGGCTGTTTTAGGTGATAGGGATACCTCAGTGAGAGACATAAAGACCTTGCATACATGAACCTTATATACCAGTTGGAGAGACTGCAATAAACTGATAAGCATCATAGGCGCATGGGGGTTAGTGTTGGAACATAAATTTGAAGTGGTATAAATATTCTCTATTTCCATTTGGTAAGTGACATTTGCTTGGGCATGACTTCATTTGGAGAGTTTAAAAACAAGTCTGAACTTGAGGTCATTTGTGACAGGGGTACTCCTTTTGGGGCTCATATACCCTATGCCTGGATGAATCTTCTGGTATGAATAACACATGGACCTCTGGAACCCAGAGATGCCCTATGGTGGGCTGGTCTCCAGTGGAATCTTGACCCTGTTCTCAGGCTTGTAGGCCTACAGCAAACAAGGGGATAAGGCCAGAGCTTTGAGAGAATATCTAGAAACTTGGAAATACTTATGTGACATCTTTTTTTTAAGCTTTTTTTTTTTTTAAAGAATTATTTATTTTAGGGGCTGGCAGGTGGCATAGTGGTTAAGGGCACTGGACTCCAACATGGCCAATTGCAGTTTGAGTTCCAGACCTGGCGGCTTGCTTTCTCACTTTCTCTCTCTCTCTCCCTCCCTCCCTCCCTCTCTCTCTGTTTGTCTCTCTCTGGTCAAATTCAAAAATAAATAAATAAAGTTAAATAATTTTGATATTTTTATTGTATTTTATTTATTATTGTTCTAATTTGACCAGAGAGAGACAGAAAGGGAAAGTGAGAAAGCAAGTCACCAGGTCCAGGACTTGGAACTGCTGTTGGCCAGGAGGAAGTCCAGCACCTCAACCACCACACCACGTGCTGGCCTCTTGTGTGACATCTCAAACTCATAATGACAAAGTTTATTCTGGAAGGGGCAAATAGATAAAGGGCAACAGAGCTTGAAGCAGGGTCAGAAGCTGCAGCTGGACCGTCAAGGGGGTCCTAATCAAGGGCGGGGTGGCCTCTCCATCTCAGCGTTGCTCCACTGGTTATAGACGTGGTCCTCTTTTCCCATGGGGTCTGCTAGTCACAACTAAAGCTGGTTAGGGGAATCAAATGCAGCTCCTGATCCGAGTCCATGGAGGTAGGACCTGAGGGCCTTTTATTGTTTTTTTGTTTATTTTATTTTGTTATTTTTGCTATAGGGCATGTGTGCCCACAGGAGAGAGACAGAGAGAGGGGCCGAGACAGAGAAAGTGAGAAATCACCCCTTGGGGCAATGGCTATGTTACAATCCCTTCTCCTCCATTCTCTTCTTGGAGTTTTGGGGATGCATGAACATGTGCCAGGTGTGATTTTCAAGCTGCTGGGTCCAGGATTCAAATCTCAGTTGGTCATGTGAGAGTCCAGCTCCTTTAACTGCTTTTATACCACCATGTCTTTTACTGCTTTATGCTTACCTTTCCCATCCTCAACCCCAAACCCAGAATTTTATTTTTCTGTAAGCCTATTTATTGAAATTAAATGAAAAAGATATATCTGGGCTTAAATTTAGGCCTATGGCTATGGATCCTATTAGGTTGTCGGGAAAGTCATGACATATTTTTTTTATTTGCAAAATGCATCATGACTTTTCTGACATCCCCCTAGTTTGAAATTCAATGACAGAAAATATTTGTTGTTACAAGTATGCTTATATTTAACTTTTTTCTTTTAAATTAGTACTTAAAAACCTAAGTATTTAAGTGAACTAATCTCACCTGTGATTTCCAGTCTCTTTTATGGAAAAAATAGTTCTCAAAGAAATTCAGAGGCTCTTTTCTTCTTAGCATTTCAAATTTCTGTGTGTCTTTGAATGGCTTTCCCATCACCACCCCATCCACATTAGGAAACAGTGGAAAGATGGGTATTTTTGAATATGGGCTATCTGAAGGGGGGTTGCATCCTAAAATGATAAAAAGAAAAATGGGATCACTCACATTGTTCGTGTAAGATGAGGTCTGCAGGAAAGATAAGCATGCTGTCTCCGTTCTGCTCTGTCTACCCTCTCAGGGGCCCTGGCCCCTTTCTGCACTTTCCTGCTCCTGCTCCAACCACCCACGGGCTCTAAGCTTCACCCAGGAGTCTGAGAATTCAGGTCCTTGCTTTCAAACGCTGTGTGACAGACCAGCTACAGAAAAGGTTGTGGTCCTTCTCTTACACGCTTGGCCTCTAGCAGTTTTCCTTTTGTGAAATTTGCAAGAGGGCATGTGCACTCACTGGAGGAAAATAGGGAAGGGGAGAAGCCACACCTCTTATGGGTGATGGTTAAGCCACATCCCTTTTCTTCCATCTCTCCCTCCATTTAGGATTTTGGGCACACGTGCAGAGCATATTTTTCAAGCCATCAGTCTGTAATTCGAACCCCACAGTAGGCTATGTGGGATTTAGCCACCTTAACTCATGCTACCAACTGGCCCTGGCCTCTGGTATTTCTTTCTTTCTCTCTCTCTCTTTTTAGTTTTTTGCCATAGGGTATATGTGGTTGCCAGAGAGAGAGAGAGAGGGAGAGGGAGAGGAAGAGGGAGAGGGAGAGGGAGGGAGGGAAGGAGGGAGGGAGAGAGAGAGAGAGAGAAATCACCCCTAGAGCGAATGGACACACACTACAATCCCTTCTCCTCCATTTTCCTCCAGGAGTTTTGGGCACACACACACACACACACACACACACACACACACACACACATGCGCCCGGTGTGATTCTCAAGCCACCAGGTCTGGTATTAGAACTGTGACTGGCCATGTAGGAATCCAGCATCTTAAGTACCATGCCACCTGCTGGTCCCTCTCATATTTATTTCTGACCAGTCATACGAATAAGTCCTTTAAAACAATAGGGAGAGAACAAGTGGCTCTCACTCTTGAGTTCGTCAAGAAATTTGAGTAAGTCCTTTTCTTCTGTTACTGCAATCCTGGCAGCATTAGCAAAGGCAGCTGTGCTTGAGGTTGGGGAGGTGCATGTGTCTGGCTTAAGTTTCCTTTTTCCATAACCCATAGCATAGGGACTCCACAATATTTCTCCTCCAGAATCCTGGAACTTTCTTCGGAAATAGCTTTAAAAAAAAAAAAAGTAATTCAGAAATGGATAAAAAGAGCTGTAGGGTAAAAAGAAAAAACATCAAGTTGCAAGTTATATGGGCTGAAGAAATTAATTTTAAATCTAATTTGCATATTCATTCAATAATATTTGAGCGCCAAATTCTAGGACATTTGTAGACTTTCTACCACTACTTTCTTTTTTTTTAGACAGAGATTTTTGCTGTAGGGTGCATGCGCTTGCTGGAGAGACAGACAGAGAGACAGAATGTGAGAAATCACCCCCCGGGGGGATGGCCATGCCACAGTCCCTTCTCTTCCATTTTCCTTTTGAGATCTTGGGCACACACACACATGCACACACACACACACACCAGTGTTAGTTCCAAGCCGCTGGGACTCCAACCGCAGTCAACTACATGGGAGTCCAGTGACGTAACCATTATACCATCTGCTGGTCCTTCTACTGCTACTTTCCACAGGCCATTTGACTATTTCATGTAGTCCTTGGCCTTAGGATTCCTTCTTCTCTCCCAAGACCTCCCAGTCTTGCAAAGAAAAATATTTATAGATTATGATTCTGTTTTTTTTTTGGAGAGATTTTCACTATAGGGTGCGTGCGCTCGCCAGACAGACAGAGAGAGATATAGAGATAGAAATCGAGAAATCAACCCCCAGGGGGGATGGTCACGCCACAGTCCCTTCTCCTCCATTCTCCTCTCGGGATCTTGAGCACACACGCACACGCGCCCGGTGTGAGTTTTAAGCCTCCGGGTCTGGGACGCGAACCCCGGTCAACTACGTGGGAGTCCAGCAACATAGCCATTACACTAACTGCTGGTTCCCTGGATTATGATTCTTGACAAACTCTTAAGTTGTACTATCTTGCATACAAACTATAATCATGCTGAGTATATAAATTTTTTTTTTTTTTTAACTTTTGCTATAGGGTGTATGTACTTGCTGGAGAGAGAGAGAGAGACAGAAAGCGAGAAATCACCCCCCAGAGGGAATGGCCATGCGGTAAAACCTTTTCCATTCTCCTCTAAGGATCTTGGGTGCATATGCACACGTGCCTGGGGTGAGTTTCAAGTGGCTGATTTTGAAACTCAAACTGTGGTCAGACATTTGTGAGTCCAGTGCCTTAACTATTATGCCACCTGCTGGCCCCTGTGTTGGGTTTTGAAATACAATTATTTGGTTTTGTTAGTTTCCAGAGGGTGAGTGTACTCACCAGTGAGAGACAATGAGAGAGAGTGAGAGGGAGAAAGCATCCCCCATCCCCAACTAGGCATAGTCATACTGAAATCCCTTTTCTAATTCTCCAGCTTGTCCCTATGATTAAGTTGGCCATTTTCTTAGTTTTTGAACTCTTATTTCTGTGTGTCTGCATTTAATTTTCCTGACATAGCACTCCCTTGAGAACTTCTTGGAGATCTGATCTGGTGCTGGTAAATTCTTTCAGGTTTTGTTTATCTGAGAATGTTCTTGTCTTTTCTTCCCATATGAAG